TTGGATTTTGAATCCAATGAAATTACAAGGTATGTTTATTATATTGTGTGATGCCACTTGATTTATGTAATACATGTACTCCAAAATGGTCTTGGTGTATTAAGTTCTACTAGTCATATGGGATGGCCCCTTGTCCTTATCCCATCTGTCTGTCACCACAGGTTAGTTATCCTAAACAAGGTGGATGATTGCATGCATTCAACCCAAGATCTCTTGGATCCAATGTGAAAATAGTCAAGCTCGGACATACAGTATAGCACCATCAGCATCGTTTTACTAATCCTGAATGGACTTCATATCAGCATTCTTTTTTCATTAAGACATGTCTAAAAAATGATCTGACAGCTAGTGTGGCAGCCATGACAGCCAGGATGAGAATCATGTTATCAATACTGAACAGAAAGTCATATCAACATGGGGTTTTCAGTGAAAGGTTTCTTAAGATGGTCCTTGTTGGTCCTAAATGATAATGGTGCCTTTCTGACATCTTGAAAAGCTTGTTATCACTATTTCTGCTGAACAGAATTTCATATCAGCATGGTATTTCCATCACAAGACTCATGGTATTTAGTTCATCGGTAATGAAAATGCTGCTGATCTGAAATTAGTATGGCCACCATGGCAGCCATCTTTAAAATCTTAATATTGCTACTCCTTCTAAATGGCAACAACATAAGACTTCACCAATAGGTTAATTATGATTTCCACACCAGTAATGCTTTCTTAACCTAAGCTTCGTCTGTTTTCACAAGTACTGTTGCAGCATTTAGTTTTTGCCCAAAATTTCCTTCATATATGTGATCACAATTGAAGAATTAAAAGAAATTATAAAAAGCATTTCTGCCTATTGCATATCTTGAGCCCTAGTTTTATTGGCAGCATTCAGAATGCCCTTGAATGAATTCATAATAATGGCAACATAGTGATTTAGTCTGAAAAGTATTGATGTTGAGCACTTTGTAATTCCAAAGAATAATTTAAGTAAATAATAAATAAATTAATAAATTCTCCAAGATTAAAACTAAACACAACAATAAAACTGAGTCCACTTAGGATGTTAAGGTAAAAATGATTAATCCTAAAGAAAACAACTTTATATACCTCCCCACTTGACCTATATTGCAGACCTGTACAAAAATTGTTGTGGCATGATGCCCCAGTGCTAGGTATCACTATAAACTATCACACTGCATACATCAAAGCAATATGACTGAAAAATTGTTAAAGCTATAATAAAAAGCCAAATCACACACATACACATGCACATGCACACACACATACACACAATAACTGTTTTCTGGAAATACTTCAGTCATCTTAAAATTCAAATTGTAAACAAACTTCATTTCTGGAACCTTCTAAGGTTAGAATCAAGACTGTATCTGAAGCTCAATCATTAGTAAACATGTTTAGAATTAATAATTATCTTAATACATAGCCTGCAATGGTTGACATATAATGGCTATGTAATATATTGTGTGCAAAATAAATGTCACTAGTTAGGTGACAATCTATTATCATGAACAACAAAAATTAAACATAGAATACAAATTAAATATGCATCACCAAAAACATGCTGATGAAAGGGGAGCCAAATCCCTTTTCCTAGGTCACACTGAGGTAGCCAACCCAGGTTGGTTTGAAAATGTCAGTGGAACTTCATTTGATATCAATACAGTATATTCTAGAAGTTGTGTTTGAGGCATTACACTCTGATAATGATGATGTCTAGTATTTTGGGGTAATCCCATTCAGGCAATGATTGCACTAGTGTTTGAGGCAGTCACACTCTAATAATGATGATGTCTAGTATTTTGGGGTAATCCCACTCAGGCATTGATTTCACTAGTGTTTGAGGCAGTCACACTCTGATAATGATGATGTCTAGTATTTTGGGGTAATCCCACTCAGGCAATGATTTCACTAGTGTTTGAGGCAGTCACACTCTGATAATGATGATGTCTAGTATTTTGGGATAATCCCACTCAGGCAATGATTGCACTAGTGTTTGAGGCAGTCACACTCTGATAATGATGATGTCTAATATTTTGGGGTAATCCCACTCAGGCAATGATTGCACTGGTGTTTGAGGCAGTAACACTCTGATAATGATGATGTCTAGTATTTTGGGGTAATCCCACTCAGGCAATGATTGCACTAGTGTTTGAGGCAGTCACACTCTGATAATGATGATGTCTAGTATTTTGGGGTAATCCCACTCAGGCAATGATTGCACTAGTGTTTGAGGCAGTCACACTGATAATGATGATGTCTAGTATTTTGGGGTAATCCCACTCAGGCAATGATTGCACTAGTGTTTGAGGCAGTCACACTCTGATAATGATGATGTCTAGTATTTTGGGGTAATCCCACTCAGGCAATGATTGCACTAGTGTTTGAGGCAGTCACACTCTGATAATGATGATGTCCTAGTATTTTGGGGTTAATCCCACTCAGGCAATGATTGCACTAGTGTTTGAGGCAGTCACACTCTGATAATGATGATGTCTAGTATTTTGGGGTAATCCCACTCAGGCAATGATTGCACTAGTGTTTGAGGCAGTCACACTCTGATAATGATGATGTCTAGTATTTTGGGGTAATCCCACTCAGGCAATGATTGCACTAGTGTTTGAGGCAGTCACACTCTGATAATGATGATGTCTAATATTTTGGGGTAATCCCACTCAGGCAATGATTGCACTGGTGTTTGAGGCAGTAACACTCTGATAATGATGATGTCTAGTATTTTGGGGTAATCCCACTCAGGCAATGATTGCACTAGTGTTTGAGGCAGTCACACTCTAATAATGATGATGTCTAGTATTTTGGGGTAATCCCACTCAGGCAATGATTGCACTAGTGTTTGAGGCAGTCACACTCTGATAATGATGATGTTTAGTATTTTGGGGTAATCCCATTCAGGCAATGATTGCACTAGTGTTGGAGGCAGTCACACTCTAATAATGATGATGTCTAGTATTTTGGGGTAATCCCACTCAGGCAATGATTGCACTAGTGTTTGAGGCAGTCACACTCTGATAATGATGATGTCTAGTATTTTGGGGTAATCCCACTCAGGCAATGATTGCACTAGTGTTTGAGGCAGTCACACTGATAATGATGATGTCTAGTATTTTGGGGTAATCCCACTCAGGCAATGATTGCACTAGTGTTTGAGGCAGTCACACTCTGATAATGATAATGTCTAGTATTTTGGGGTAATCCCACTCAGGCAATGATTGCACTAGTGTTTGAGGCAGTCACACTCTGATAATGATGATGTCTAGTATTTTGGGGTAATCCCACTCAGGCAATGATTGCACTAGTGTTTGAGGCAGTCACACTCTGATAATGATGATGTCTAGTATTTTGGGGTAATCCCACTCAGGCAATGATTGCACTAGTGTTTGAGGCAGTCACACTCTGATAATACTGGTGTGGTGTTTGGTGCAGTCACACTCCAGTGATGATGGTGCCTAGTGTTAGGGGCAGTTCCACTCTGGTAATGATGATGCCTTGTGTTTGGGGCAGTCCCTCTCTGGTAATGTTGATGCCTGGTGTTTGGGGCAGTTCCTCTTTGGTAATGATGATGCCTAGTGTTTGGGGCAGTCCCTCTCTGGTAATGATGATGCCTGGTGTTTGGGGCAGTCCCTCTCTGGTAATGATGGTATCCTTTGATAGAGAAGCAGTATTCTGCATATAAGCATTACAGACCTTGGCTGATTTAGGTTTTGTTGTGGCACCTGTATGACCACTAGCTATTGCCCTTTTGATTTGCTGCTGGTTTTAATGTATGACAGAATAATAAGAACACATCTAATCTAGCAGATTTCAGTGGATCACAGTGAGACTTGGCTTAAGGTGTGTGTATAGACATATCAATATGCCTGTGTCAATTTTATAAGTTCACTAAAAGTCTGAGAGTAGATGACACCTGCCTGTCATCTGCACTTATGGTAAGGAAGATTTATTTATTAAATTTTTAAAGGCCAAAGTCACTAACTGAAGCAAGAAAAAAAGGTTTGCATACAATGTTAGTACTACATCACAGACATGGATGACCAAACTTTGTGGATTGCTTACATTTGGGATAAGAAAGAATACTATTGGTATTGAGGTTAAAGGTCAAGGTCATCAAGATAGAAAGAAGAAAAATGATTGCAATACAATAACTTTAGTTCTGCATCACAGATCTGGAGTATTTGGAGTAAAGAGAAGTCTGTTTATTTCTGGGGCAAAAATTCAGATGTCAAGGTCACTGGCTAGAAACTGGATTCTACACAAAAAAATCTCAATGTTACTTCATGAGGGTTTGTGGATGGCATACACTTAGGGTCAGAATGAAGCATATTGATTATAGAGTGAACAAGTGAAAGTCACTGATGAGAAAGAAATAAAACTTTGCATGATATCTTTAGTCCTGTATCATTTGAACAAAAGTTTGGGGAGAACAATTTAAATAAGGACTTATTGGGTTTGAGGTCAAACAAAGGTTTTGGTTGTTTTGACTTGAAGCAAAATGGGTTTTGCATAATAACCTTTGTTCCAGAATACATTCTTTCACCACACTAGATGACTTCTACTAAAAGAAAGATTACAATATAATTTGGGTTTCAACAAGAGCTCCAAGGGCAAGGTTATCACAATTCTACTAAGAAAATAATGGTATCTGCACAGTAGGTTTTAAGAATGCCTACATTGACCAAGGGTCAAGGTAATTGAGATCATTCAACCATGTTCTTTAGTGCCCACAGGTGTGTGATTTAGATTTTTAACTTAGTTTTAACAACTTTTCTGTCATATCCTATAATGTCTGCAGTGTGGCAGTTTATAGTGATGCCTAGCACTGGAGCATTGTGCCACAAACATGTGGCATGATGTCCCACCCAGTCACATTATCCAAACACCAGGCCAAACAGTCCCAACACCAACCTCTTAATGCTGAACACCAAGTGAGGCAGCAGCTGTTAGCACCATTTTTTAAAAAAATTTTTATATGACTCAGCTGGGGTTGGAACCCACGACTTTCGCATCTGAGGTGGATACTCTCTAACCACTAGGCCACTGGAGTGGTCAGTACATTATGTACTATTCAAGGGACTCTTCTTTTGGGGAGGGGTTGGGACCAGAAAAATTTTTAACTTTTATTTTTATATATTTTTTTTTAGTGTAGACTTGAACATCTTTATGTGACTGAGTCTGAATTGAGTTTTCCCAAGAAATGTTTGAGACAAGACTTAAAGCTTAAATAAATGTTAGTGAAATTATTTGATTCCTTAATTCCTCCCACATGTAAGGAATAGAATACAATATGCATGGTCATTTTGTAACTCTGAATCTCTTGAGAGAAAATATCATTTTTATAAAAATACTTAATTTGGCAAAGTATTTGCTTTTATTAAGCACACCAGAAAGTGGAAATTTACAATGTTACAACTTGTTCTTCAGATGTACTTTTCATTGCCAACAGTAATATGTTGGAATAATGTCAATTTAGGATACATTTTTTTATTTTCTTTTATTAATTGCCACTTCAGGAAAATTAAAATACAGTGCAGGTACTATATGCAAAGAGTTTGATTGGTTGATTAACAGAGCATTGGCACATGAATGGATATTTAGTGTCTAGACAATGCCAGTCAAGTACCATACCTGGCAAGATCAGTTCACAATAAGGCAAAGGCATTGTTTAGACTTATATATACCCAACATTTTACCTGTGTGCATCAGGATCGTTATCATCAGTATTCTTCCATAGTAGAGTGTTTCTTAAGTTCCCATCAATTTTATGCACAGTAGGTGGCAATCATGCCATTTTTTGATCATTAATCTTCTTTTCAATTTTTTATTTTATTTTATCACAAAAACTCCATTTTCTCTTTTTATATTACAAGCTTGTGTACTTTATTTACCAGTTTATCCCTAAGATTAAAAAGCTTTAATCGACACACCCTCTCTCACTGTGTGTTTGTCATCTGTCCATTTATAGGAATCCTGTATGAATGGCTATTGAGGTCTAGTATATTGTCCTTTTGTGAACACCTTTTGAATTACTGTATTTGTCACATGAAATTGACATCCTTGTACACTTCTTTTATTGACCTTAGATTCAAAACAGTTTGGTAATTTCTTTACTTGTGTTTTGTATTGAATAAAGCAAACGAACCTTTAAAAAAAATGGAAAGGGATGCATATTGTAGATGCATAGTTTGCTCATCAATAAATGTTGTCATACCCCTTTTATTGTAAAATGTATAACCTTCAATCATGGTCTTCACGCAGGTGTTTCTTTTTTTAAATCAGTGTTGTTGTCATCAAAAATTTTGACTGCTTTTGTGTAAATTTAATGAACTAGATATAATGTATTAAACTTTTATTTCTGTCCCTAAAACATATTGATACAATGCACACATTTAGCTGTATTTTTAAATGACGGATCTAATTGATGCATGTAGCATTGAAAAAACTTGAAAGTTTTTGGTGTACATTTCATTAGACTTTATGTGCATGTTTCACTAGCAAGTCGGAGATGACCTATTTACTTGATTTAGCAAGAGAAGCAAAGTTTGAAATGAAGGCATGGTTATTGCATAAATCTACTTTAAATTGGAAAAATTTTATGCAAGAAAAAAAATAGTTCTTAGTTTAATAGGATCTGTGTAAAAAGAAATTGCAATCACTAATGAGAATGTTATGGATTATGGCATCAAACTCTTTTTATGGGAGTATTTCATAAGCTTACAACTGATGATTGTGATAATAAATATACTTGGAAAATTAGGATCTAATCCTGTTGAACAAAACAGAATGTTGTATATGTGAATTTAGTTGATTGCCAATTTATTATATATATTATATAGGACAATTACAAGATTGAATCTTAGAATTAATGTTAAATCACTAATCAGCCCCTAGAATATTTACATCTGGCAGTCTTTCAAGTGGGTTATTCGGCAATTAAACCTGTTGTCCAATTCTTTTATTGTTTGATGGCTAAGTGACGGCTCTAGCAAATAAGGATTAGACTCATTTAATGGCAATAAAATTAATCATTTCCTCTTGGTAGCATCTCCACCATAATTTCTTTGATTTACAGAAGGGCGTAAACATTTGCACTTCATTGGTAGGCAAGGGAATACCCCTTGGTTGTCAAGGTAACAACATGTTGCTGGCCTCAGTGGACCACTTCCTAACTAATACTCTCAACAGATAACAAATTGGGATGGGGGAGGCTGAACATGGGGAAACTGCTACAGATAGAAAGAAAACTTATTGTACACTTATCATGTTAAAAAAAAAAACATAACTACATGCTGCTATGAAGTTATTTTTTGATAGATTATATATTTTATGAGAATGAACTTGTTATAAGCATTCACAACTTGGATTTATATCAAATATTTGTGACAGGAATCTCCTATAGTTTCTTTTTTTTTTAGAATAGCAATTCAATACATTTTCTCAATGAGTAAATCTTAAGCAAATTTTAATATTTTAAACTTTTATTTCTTGCATAGTTTTATTAATTAAATGCACAGCTTTGTCAAAATTTGTAAAAGACTGTAACAGCATTAGAAAACCAATTCATAAAGTTCTACACAGTTACAAAATAGTTTTTCATTATAATGTTTTACAGCAATATAAAGGTACAATTTTGTGAAGGGAAGAAATAGAGGTTTCACGGGCTTACTGTTTGATTTTGTTAAGACCATGCTGCTTTGTTTTACTTGTCAGAAATTGTTGTTAAAACCAGTGTGGTGACAGCCCAGAACCATCTGTGGACCCCGGCAGGGTTCCAAGTGTCAATCCAGTGGAATTTCCCCACTTCTCAAGAAGGGCCCCATGTGTTTGTTTAGGGCTGTCATATCTCCAGTTAACAGCTTTGCATGCCTTGTTCCCTCCGTCTAACAGAAGTAGTGTGTGTGTACAGCAGGGAATCCCTCCAAGACCTGTAGAGGTCCCTGCTCTGCCATGTTAATGCCTCTCTTATCAGCATCCCTCATTCTTTCCACATTCACAAGTTGTGGTAAGAAACTGTGCTTGGGAGCTTGGGAGGAGACAGACAACATTCTTGAGTTTTGGTTGACCTAGATAAACTGCTCTGGGGAAAGCATTTAGGAGGTAGGAGATAGAGTGGGAACACTGAACTTGCACTTAGTTTTGAAACAAGGAGGAAAAACAAAAGGCTCTTGAATTTATCAACAGTAGTTTTTCCAGTTTTGTGTTATTTTGTTGAGCCAGTGGTCAGATGAGGAGGGACAAGTTAAGAAGCTTGTTTGGATATACATTAATTTGGCTCTGAAGGAAAGAACTTAATCAACTTTTTCATAAATAGAATTTTGATGACTAAGTTAACCCATGGGAGGATATATGTGAGCAAAAAGGAAGAAAGGGACTTTTATTAGAAGCCATCTTGGAAGATTCATTACTTAAGAACCAAGGCAAGCACAGTGAAGGAAAATCTCAACTTGATATCTTTTAGTCCATTCTCTGCATCCAACAAGTGTGGCTGATCTTGAGTATATAAAATATCATTTTTCAAGAAATCAGTTTTGCTTCATAGAGTCATTGAAATATTTTTCTTAATAAAAAACTCAAATCATTCATATTGGATGATTTGCCAATGTTCGACTTATTCGACTTATTCGCTAGAGGCAGGAACACAAGTACGATATGTGTATGTACAGCTGTAGTTTTGAAGTTGTAAAGTATGATTGTGTCAATGGTTGTCTGAGTTCTGTTGTAATGGAAACTCAGAGGAGAAAAGCCAAGAAATCAGATTTGTATAATTTCTGATGCTTTTGCATCGTGGTATCCTTCAGCCAGAATGTTCCATGAAGTTTATAACTGAAATATGAGAGACAGATAAAGCAGGCTGGATTTTTTTCTTCTGAAAGAAAAACTACTATTGGATTAACTTTTCTTCACGTTTATCATGATTGCATTTACTAGAATTTTTTTTTTTTACAGCTGTTGCTTCCATGATTGACTTTATTTTTAAAATAATCTAAATCAAACAGGAACATGTCTGGTAGATGCTAATCCTTCCAGTGATTAATGTAGATCATTGCCTGTATTTTCTAATAGGCAGTGTCTATTAATTGGACTTTAAAAACTAAAATGTTGCTGGGATCAAGTAATTTTATTTATAATTACACACTGGGGGATATTTCTGTGTCTTCACCTAGTCCTTCGTCTCAGTCTGAGTCTGACACCCCAGGATCAATCACAGTAAGTTTTTTTTCTTCTCTCTCACATTATTGAAAAGCAAGTTTTCACTTTCCAACAGCAGCATCATTGTTGCATCATTGTTGCAGTTAGCATCCATATTTGGATATGGTGTTAAATCTTTCTTAGGTAAGTATCAATTAACATTTTTTGAGATGAGACATTTTTGTACAGAACACTGCACGAGGTGATACATTTCCCCAGAAAGTATTGCAGGGTGTTAGGCATTACCCCATGGTACACAGTTTATTTTTTGTTGCATTTTCATTATCAGGAGGTTTACCTGATGGTGGTTTCCATCCTAAAGATTTTTGCATACTTTTCTATGCCACCTCCCATGCCCCCACTTCCTCAACATTACTATATATTTCTGGATCCAACTTTGTTGTGTGTGTACTGCACTATTTGTATGCAGATACTTTGGAACCCAGATAAATAGCCTGTAGACTCTGATTGAGGAGTCCTATTGTGGCTCAAGACTTAACATTTAGATGGTTTCAAAAAACGTGTCACACTTTCATATAGTACATGGTACATGATCATTCAGCATCAGTCTTTGGAGTACAAAATAGAATCTGATTTTGGCCTTTTTGAAAATTTATTAAATAGTTATGCTATTTATTGCATTTTGTTTCTCACATTTCATATCTAGTGAACACTTGTTTACTTATAGGAAGTGTCAGTTACTGTATTAGGGACAAGTCTGAAATATTCCAAATGATTTGTATCAAAAACAGACTGTACCTGCTAGTGATGTCCACTTGTTATGTGGCACTTTTCATTGAGATTGAGAATTTAGGAGTTGAATGATATAGTTGAAATAAATAATAGAGTAAAAAATGAAATT